CCATGAGTATATTTATTACATCAATTTTTTAATTGTTTAGTTCAGATAAAAGTTATGATTTAAATGGTGAGTTTTTTCATTTACTTTGGAGAGGTTAATGTTACATTTTGAACATTTTACTTTATTAAATTATTTAATCAGTGATCAAGAAAATTTTTATTCAAAGAATTATGGTTTGAAGATTTTATAAATAAAAAATTATGATAAGTCATTGAATATTAATTATAAAATTTCAAATTATTGATATATTTCGTATTATAGTATCCAAAAATTAATTTTAATTTTTAAATAAAATTTCTCTTTTTTTTTAAAAAAAAATTAATATTTTTAATTATCCAACCGAAAACGTCCGCGCCCGCAAACGCTCGATGGAAGCAGTTTTTAATTTTGAGAGATTTGAAACGATACAGAGCGGTATAAAATATTTTCCATAATTGTTGTCAAACGCTAACAACAGCTATGGTAGTGGGTGAACCAATCAAGAGTAACTTTTGAGTTTTGATCACAACGAGAAATATATTTTAATTGGGGTAAATATTAATATAATTATATAACATATATTTAAATATAATAATATTATAAATATTAAATAACTTTTTTTAAGAAAAATTATATATAATAAATAATAAATATTTATTTTTATTGAATTTCTATTTTAAAATTATTTAAAAGATATTTTAGATGTTATTATTTGGATTTTAATAAATAAAATTTAATGAATAATTATATATTTTTGGTTGTAAACAACGTAAATTATAGTTTTTGATAAATATATATAATTTTATAAATATTTAAATTTTGTGTAAACTAATTTCTTATAGATGAAAGATATATCAAACAGAAAAATGCAAATTAATATACAAGAAATAGAAGAAAAAAAATTGAAAACAATATGCTTAAACACATGAAGAGCAAAATTTTTTTTTTATCAAATAGGGTGCAAAGAAAAGGTTTGAACTTCAATCATGAGGGTCACACTTACTTATTTCAAACAAATTTTCTATTAAATGCCAATTATATGAGCATATAAGCCTAATTTCATAAAATTTATATGGGTAATTGTCCCCCTTAATGTTGAACTAGCTCCACCATTCACTCCATTATGGATAACTTGTCTACCCGTCGTGTGGATTTAAAATTAACATGTAAAATATGCAACAGTTCTAGCTTATTGATTATTTGTGTATTTCATATTACAAAAAATTGTTGTTGTACTAAATGATTATCTAGTTAGAAGATTAAACATTTTGAGCAAATTGTTGGACATATACAATGTTAAATGTGGAAAGAAATAGACTGTTACATCGTATGCATATGGAAAATATCTTTTTTTGCACTAATCCACAACTTGTATGTCTAATTTATCAATATTCACTACGGTTCCCTAAAAAAATGAGTGGTCGTCGTTTTTCCTGCATAAAATGCGTTTGTAAAAAAGATTATTGATCAGACAAGTTGTAGTATGTTATGGTTCTATCGAGACATATGCATTATCTCAACAGAGATGTTAGAATGCATATTTATGTTTTGTTTTGTTATAACCTTAAATTGTAAAAAAAAGAATAATTGATGTTTGATTGTATTTTTTTTGTTTCACTTTTTTATCGTGTTTTTACGATTTTAAGATTACTGATCCGACAAATTGTAGTATGTTTTACTTCTATCGAGACATCTGCATTATCTCAATATATATGTTAGAATGCATCTTTGTGTTTTGTTTCGTTAGAACCTTAAATTATAAGGAAAGAATAATGATATTTTCTTGTTTTTTTTGTCTCACTCTTTTTATCGCTTTTTTACGATTTTTCTCTTTCATATCGATGCAATTTTTAATTATTATNTGTTTTCTGGATCACAATTTGTGGAGGAGTAAGATTTTCTTTCGAGGGTATTGGTTAGAAAACGATTGACAACATTAGCATTCTAACAACCTTAAAACTCCTAAAATCACTAATGAATTTTCTAAAACCATATTTTTGTTAGTGTTACGATTCTTTTTATTAAAGTTTTTTTGACTTTTTGTTTTAAAATTGTAGTTACCTATCTAAAGTTTTAACATATTTTTGTATACTATATTATTGGATTTAATAAATAAAATATATTTTTTTCAAACCGTTAAAAGTTTATAATAACACATTTAATTTGAAATTATAGTTTTGGGTGGATATCAAAGGAAAAAAAAACTGAAATTGGTTATCCTTATGTTATACTTTAATTTTTAGAATTAACTTATAAAGTTAGCTATTAAATTGTAGGAATTAATTGTTAAAGTTGTTAAAAACACTTAATTTTTTTTCTTTTCAATAAAACAATCTAAAAAATAAATGTCAAAAGAATAGATGACACATGACATCCTCTCATAACTTATAACTTGAGTTTAGAAAAACTTTATAATATTATATAAGATATTTGTTTATTAAAAAAAAAACTCAGATTTAACACATTAAACACTTTTTTTTAATCCCATCTATAAAGCCTTGTAAGCCCAAGCAAAGCAACATATTTCTACAGTCCAAATAGTGTAGGCCCAAGAATCAGCTCTTCTTTTTAAAATAAAATTGTATAACCTTTTAAAAATGAGATTGTAGAGAGATTGTTGTTACTTAAAGCAAGGCAAATCTTAATTGGGTCTTGGAAGACAGAGAAACAGCACTTAAAACACACTCTTGCTTGTTTTTTGGGAAGATGAATGTTTTTACAAAGTTACATATCTCATTATCAGGAATGGGCTAAAGGAACTAAAGTCCATTAGAAACATTTGATGGTAAGCTCCCATTGATCTTTGGTTTGAAGTGCTTGTAGCTTGGCCACCGCCGTTTCTATCTCCAATTTCTTCCTTGCATGAAACGATGTCGTCTTGATCATCATATTTTTTACCACCTTTCTTTGCCTAATCAAACACGACGCTAAGGCAAATTCTTCCTCTGAACCGCTGAAGTTATGCATCCACACCGTAACCACGCGGAATCCAGCATTGAAGAACAAATGATCATTGTTATTCTCCTTCTTTGGTGAAGACTCACCTTCTTCCCTAGGAGCATTGTTATCCTCCACACCAAACAAACTATATAAGATTATGTTTAGTTAGAATAAAAATAAAAAGATTTAAGACTTGGTAACTCAGATGCATGAATGTTACATTCCATACCTTAAATAAGATCTCAAGCTCTACCATTTCAAAAGTCCATAGATTTAAGACTTGTCTAAACCTCTCAACTTCTCTTGGACTCATTAAATCTACACTCACTGACAAGCATGCAGGATTTCTTGCTCTCAACATGTCACAACATGTGTTGTTTACCACAATTTCTTTATGCCCAACGCAATTTTCCTCCTTAATCATACATCAAACATCACAATACTTCATTCTCTACATATATATACATTTGGAGAACACAAGTAACAATATATGTACCTGAGATATGTTGTAGCTGATGTGAGGTAAGTATGTCCCTGTAAGCCAAAAGTTTCTATTAAACTTGAGTCGAGGGGAATTGAGGACAAAGTCATCTCTCCGACATGAGAAAATTTCTTCGAGAGCAAGAATATGCAAGTTAGGTGATGACACTTGAATGCCATCAATCTTATCGCAAAACGACACTTTCAACAACTGTAATCTCTTGTTTTCAATCTTCAAAGGACCACTTTTTTCTAAGCAATTGATGTGTAGTACAAGCACCTTAAGGGAAATGCAAGATGCGAGGATTCTGTTAAAGACTCCAACATCGCGAGCGAGGATACATGAGAGCTTGAGGGTCTTGAGATTTTGGCAGTTGTTGAAGCAATGATGTGAGGTTGAGGTTGCGAAAAAGTATGAAAAGAGCGAGAGTGATGTGAGTCCTTGATATGAGTTTGGGGGAAACTCGATAAATTCTCCATTGTTTGTTGGATCAAGATGGTGTCTAAGTGTGAGATGCTTGGTCTGCTTTACACTGGTGAGAGATTGAATCCAAGTATTCAGCATCCCGTTTGTATAATGGTCGATTATGCAGCTCTCTAGATGTCCACGGTGATTTTTTATAATCTCAATAACCAAAAGATATGATTTAAAACAAAAAGGC